GGTGCCGAAGAAGCCCGTGTTACAGATATCTATGGGTGAGCTTCGTTGATTTTGTGACATTTTTCTTAAAGAACTAATTTTTTTGGCTATTTACCAAACCAATTGATTTGGTTGAAAATTGTGGCCTTTTTTATTAAGGTAAAGTTTGCAATTTTTGGGATTTTTTTTTAGAATTGTTTTGATTTTTGAGAAAAATTAGAAAAGGGTAAAAATGTCACGGGTTGAATGTTATGAATTGATAACGACAATTACGGACCCGTTATGACCCAAAAATGGCCGTTGCCTACGTGAATTTTATTCTATCGGTTATATTGGCCCTTAACGAGAACGAAGTCTTTCAATTTCGTTATGTAACGAACATTTTTCAAAACTATAGTCCAGCCCTTGCTTAGCTTGGATAGTGACAGGTTTTTGCCCTTTACACAGATTTATAAGCTCCGAAAGAAGTTCATGACACTAAATAGAAGGATATGATTCTCGCTGAGTATTATGCAAGATTGACTAGTTTGTGGTAGTAGCTGGATTATTACTAAGATTTTCGAGCAGATTGTGCCAAAGGATATGACTCTCGCTGAGTATTATGCAAGATTGACTAGTTTGTGGTAGTAACTGGATTATTACTAAGATTTTCGAGCAGATTGTGCCGGAGATAATGCTAAGTTTCAGAGGTTAATAGAAAGAGAACAAACATATGATTTTTTTGCAAGGTCTCAATGTCAATTATAATCAGATCCGTATATAGGTTTTGAGTAGAGATCCTTTTCCTTTCTTGAGGCAAGCTTTTATTCTTATGTATAGCAAGAGGAGAGTGTCATGATTTATACTCCTACTCATCGGTCTACTATAGCAGCTATTCTACAGAGAGAGAATAGATCCTTTCAGCCTTATGGTGATGGTAATAATTGGAGCATGGAGAAGGATTTGTTAAAATGTGTCTACTATGGAAAGACTAGGTATACTAATGAACATTGTTGGAAGCTACATGTCGTCCTTTTAGGGGCGTGGTGGTAATAAGGTGATCTTGTGTGCTCTCATGCCCATTTGACTGAGATTGCGGATCTTACCCCCGGTGTCCATCTCCATCAATCGGTATTGATAGTGCAAGTTTTAATGCAAATGAGATGTAGACTCTCAGGCATCTGATGGCCTGGTCAGTGTTATTTATGCGTAAAACGAATTGAAGTGATTCGGTTACCTGAGGCCTAGGATGGAAGCGAGAAGCGAAACAAACGTTTCATCGAAGCGAAACAAATAGTTTAAAAACAAGCAAGTAATTTAGTGAAATTATTTCTAAATATTCAAGTTCTAACTTCACAAATGCTAAATATTCATATGCAACCAAAACTATAACACTAATAATATCTCAAAAAAATAAAAAAATAAAAAAAAAGAAGATTTCTAGCAAAACAAAGAGAACATACATGTTGAAAAAAAGAAATCTAGAATTAAAATTCAGAGCCAATTAAGAGAAGAGAACATATCAGTCCAAGAATAGATGGATGAACCCGATAGACAGAAGTAGTAGTAGAGAAGAGTCTATCAATCCAGTAAAAGAGTCGAATGGATGAACCTAGTTGCAACTTTGGAAGCAAATTCTGGTCTCCAATTGATCAATCCACAATAGCAGAAGAGTCCAAGAAGATTAGAAGAAGAAAAACACGCCATTCAAAAAAGAGCAGTAGTGAAGTAGCGCCTGGTCTCCAATCAATCAATCTAGCTAAGCCAGAGTGGATTTAGGGATTAGTGTTAGATATATATAGGGTGAAGGAGCAATCAATTGTTATAGACATATCAAATTTTTAATCCAATTGATCAATCCAACGGTCCAAAATAACCAAAGACAATAGCTTTAAAAACTTCAGTAAAGTGCTTGTTTTTTGCTTAATCGCGTTTGCCTGGATTGATTTTTGCTTGCCTCACTGAAGCTTGCTTTGACTTGTTCTTGCAAGGTAACTTGGGCTTGCCTGGACTTGTTTCTCGCCTAGGCGAGTGCCTAGGCACGACTTTTGCAACACTGGCTAGTGAGAGCCTTGGCGCGACTTTCACAATACTGCTCGACTTTGATACTTTTGCATCTACTTCCACTTTTGTTGTTTTCAATTTTACTCACATTGGTATGCATGCCAGTGCTTTTATTGCATATTATACCCAACAACATGCTAAGCAGATTACTATCCATAAGTCACCAAGTCAGTCATCATTTCCGAACTCAATTCCTGAGATCTCCTCTTTTATCAGGTAATGAGTTTCTTTGTAGTAATCTTGTTGATGATAGTTTTTTACCTATTGCTATTCGAAAAGGTGTTTGGATTTGTACCCAATATCCTATTTCTAAATTTGTTTGTTATGACTCTTTATCTTTCTCTTATTGTGCTTTCTTTTTGTCTTTGTCTTCTATATCTCTTCCTCAGAGTTGGCATGAAGCCCTTGCAGAACCCAAGTGGAAAGCAACCATAGTCGAAGAATGAGAGTTTTGAGAATGAATGAAACTTAGGAGCTTATATCTCTTCCAATTAGAAAAAAATCAATAGGTTGTAAGTGGGTGTTCACTGTCAAGTAGAATGTAGATGATACAGTGGATAGATACAAAATAAGGCTGATAGCTAAGGGGTTTACTCAGACATATGACATTTACTATTAGGAGACATTTGCTCCTGTAGCGAATATGAATTCTATTCATGCTAATCTTTCATGTGCTGTCAATCTGGAATGAGATTTACAACAACTGAACGTAAATAATGCATTCCTTCATGGGGACTTAGAGGAGGAAGTGTACATGTATATTTTTCCAAGTTTTTCTTCTTCAGCTCCAGAGGAAAAATTATGTAAGCTAAATAAATCCCTTCATGGACTAAAGCAGTCTTCTAGAGTGTGGTTTGATAGATTTTATAAGGCAATGACCAAGTTTGGGTATAGGCAGAGTTATGCAGAGCACACAATATTCATCAAACAAGGGAGTGATAAGATCTCAATTCTTATAGTATATGTTAATGACATAATACTTATAGGATGACATGGAGGAAGTGTCCAAATTAGAAGTCCATCTTGCTAAAGAATTTGAGATCAAGAATTTGGGGTAGTTATGCTATTTCCTATGGATTGAAGTGGTCAGATGAGATAAATACATTTGCATCTCACTGAGGAAATATATCTTTGATCTCTTAAAGAAATTGACATCTAGGTTGTAGACCTACTGACTCACTTATTGAGATGAACCACAAATTGAAAATTGATAAAGGTGATCATATTGATAGAGGAAGATATTAGAGGTTTGTTGAGAGACTTATATATCTTTCTCACACTCGCCCAAACATAGTATATACAGAGGGTGTTATGCATGTCCTCGGTTCCCCATCAACTTACAGTTCATCGTATACCGAGGTAACTCAAATCATCTCTAGACAAAGGAATATTGTTCTCAAAGTAAGGTCATTTGAGAATAAAAGCTTTCACAGATGTAGATTGGGTAGACTCAATTGAGGATAGGAGGTCCATTACAGGTGACTGTATTTTTGTAGGAGGAAATCTAGTTTCTTGGCGGAGCAAGAAGCAAACAATGGTGGCTAGATCGAGTGCAGAGGCCACTAATGGTATTTATGAGGTATATGGTTGAAGACCTTAATGAAAGACTTGGATGTCCATAATGGTGAACCTATGTGCCTATATTGTGATGATAATGCTGCTATAAATATTGCTTACAACCTGATTCAACATGAAAGAATAAAGCATATTGAGATTGACAGACACTTCATTAAAGAGAATTTAAATGATGGGTTGATTTGCATGCCATTTGTGATGACCAAGGAACAACTAGATGATGTATTTACCAAGTGGCTTAGTAGTAGAATCTTTCATTTCGATGCATACAGGTGGGACAGGATATCTATGCTCCAACTTGAGGGAAAGTGTAGAATGTTAGATTATTTCAATTAAGGGTATTATTGTAATCTTCACTTTATTATTAGTTAATATAAATATAGGTGATGAGTAGAGAGACTAATTAACTCTCATTCTCCTAAACCCTATTTTCTAATCTCTTCCTTCTCTTCCCTCTTCCATTGCCTCTTCTCAATCTAAACCCTAATTTTTAAGATTTTTAAATTTCAACTATAAAAAAAGATATAAAACATACATACTATGGGGTGTTTCATAGTGTAACAACTCTCAAGATTTTAGAAAACCTGCTAACAAAGAATTGGAAATAGTTTGACAATCACCATGTCTTCTAAACGTCTTTCTCGAGACATAACATATCGTGAGAGTGCGGATACTAGGACGGATCGTAGCATCAAATCCCACGATCTAGATAGGGATTATGATAATCAAAGATTAAAATATCGTTTCGAAACGATCGAAACATCCGAAACGTTTCCGTTTTCAGAGAGACCGAAACGAATCAGTGATGAAATCAAAATTTTAACATTTTGAGGTGTTTCATATTGTTTTGAATATTTAGTTCTATTTCAATGCATTTGCACAATTATTTCAGAATGTTTCAAGGTATTTTCAGATATTTTAGTATATTTTGACTAATGTTTTGAAAAAAATAATTTTTAATTTTTTTTTTTCATTATGTTTTCAAAAGGGGTCGAAACGTTTTCGAAACATGTCGAAATGTTTACATTTCCTAAGTGACCGAAACAATGCGCCAAAACTAAATTTTGATCCTTAATGATAACCACAAAATGGCATACCACTTAGTATATCATAGAGAGTATTTTACCACCTACCCGTTCTTGTATCAGATTCCAAATCAACATGCAATCTAGCTATCATTTGAGTGAGGATGAGGGAAAACAAATGGCAACATCAAAGCCAATAGAAAAGGGAGCAACATTTTCCTACCAATGCGGAGTAGTACTCTCCTTACTTGTGATAAGATACGTTTTCTGTGAAGAATCAAAGGACAAAACTAATCATATTTTTCCTCGCTATCCACATCTGTACTCAGAAAATAAAAGAATAATAATTAATACCACAAGAAGCCTCCAATCCTGACAATGTACTTCATTTTTGGTGGAGCAACCACCTTAATGTTCATGTTGCTTGGGGGTGATGTGGCAATTTTCCTTCCTCATGTTGTTAACAATGCCAGGGAACATAGGTAACCGGCGGTTCACCAACAGAATCAGTCTGGCAAAATCTATGAATTCAAAAAAATATGAAAGAGAAAGCAAGACGGAGAAGATGAGGGTATATAGGTAGTTTTTTGAATCTTGTTTATGTAATTAATGGTGCATTTTGGTCCAAATACCACATGAGAATTATGACTATTTTTTAAAGGTGGGGGAGGTGACATACATTGGCGGTCTAACTTCAAGGAAGTAAAATGAAGCTTTCCTGAGAAATTTATTTGTTTCTTTGGAAAATAATAGTGGATTCTAGAGGCACGAGAATGATTGTTAGATATATTGACAGGATACACTACAATATGGTGTGGCTGTGATTAAAGTGAATTGTTACCCACTGTTTCTTTTGCCCCATAAATGGATTAATAGCATAGATACATCAAGATGAGGCTTCATAGATTATGCTATTTGCTGATAATATTGTCTTGATTGGTGGAACTAAAATAGGAATTAATAGTAGATTATAGATTTGGAGATAAATATTGAAATCAGGATGGTTTAAAATATGTTGGACTGAAAAAAAATGTGGAGTTGTAAAGGTAGAACTAGAAATGTAGAGCTTCTGCAGATTGAAATCTCATTGATACCAAAGAGTGACCAATTTCATCATGTATGTTTGATTGTTAATGAGTAGAAGATTAGAGATGCTACTTGTCATAATATTATAATTGACAGTCTCAATTACGGGAATGCTTCCGGCATATTATGCAATTGACAGATGCTGGTGAAATTGAAAGTAAAATTTCACAGGATGGCTATAAGGCCAACAAAGCTTTACATGTCAGAAGGTTGGACATTATGGTGAGATGAGCATAGTAAAATGAATACGTGATAAATAAAAAGATGAAATTAGAAATCACAAAACAATATGCAAAGCAACAATGAAATTAAATTGATACAAAAGCACTTGAAACGACTTGAACATATACAACGGAGAGCCATAGATGTATTTGTGAAAAATATTGACATCATAATCATTATTGGAAGTACTAGGTGAACAGGAAGACCTAGATGAACAAAGAATGTAGTGAAAAAGGATTTGGTCACTTGTAATTGGACATATTGTTTCTGACCTTGCAGGAGGGGAAAATTCATATAGCTGATCCCATATATTTGAGAGAAATCAGTGTTGTGTTTGGTTTGGTTTGGTCTATCCTTAGTTATCAAATAATGAAAAAAAGGAGTGTATTTGGGGTTCATGGTTTGGCTAACCGAGAAGTTATTTTTGAAAATTTCATTGTTTCTTTACATTTCTTTTTTTGTCTTTGTAAATTTCTATATTATATTGCTTTGTGCTTACAAGTCTGGTTTCTGTTTTCCTTAAATATATTTTTGCAGGGATCTTGGCAATTCAAATTTGTCTGGTTACCTGGTAGCTGACCTTGGGAAACTTGAACATCTGCAGTATCTGTGAGTATATTTTTATTCTTGGCTAGTCTATTTGCTAGAATGGATGCATAGGTGGGGTTATGAATACTACCATTTTTGCAAATCATTTTCAACAAATCAGTAGTTGGTTGCAATGATATTGATGGTATTTTGTGCATAGCTGGTACATATATTTCAGCCTATTGGAATTCTAATGAACCTTTTGTTGATGCAGGGAGCTTTACAAAAACAACCTTCAAGGGAGAATCCCCATTGAGCTTGGTAACTTGAAGAGCCTAATAAGCTTGGATTTGTACAACAACAATATCTCTGGAAGCATTCCTCCATCACTCGGGAAGTTGAAATCTCTTGTGTTTTTGTAAGTTGAACCATAGCATATTTGTCTTTTCAATACCGGATTCAAGAATGTGTATGTTAAAGAGAAACTGCTGATATATTAGTTGTCATCCATTTAGTTGTGCATAAACCATCATTGAGATTTTATACTAAACTCTGTCTCTCTCTCGGAAATAGAAATGTTTGAGAAACGTAGTGGAAATAAAGAATTTTTTTTAAAAAAAATATGGAAACATAAGAATCAAATATGCAATTTGGTGTATAGTTTCCGTGGAACATCTGGAAACACACACGAGGATCAAACATGCATTTCAGTGTATAGTTTTGGTCCGTTTGAAAGCAGAAATGTTTTCAGAAACGCAGTGGAAACAATTTTTTTTTTTTTTTGAAAACATGTGGAAACATACTGAAAGATAAATTGAAATCTGTTTATTTATATTGATAAGTTTAATAATTGATAAATTGAACTTGTTTATTGTCTTGACATCCATTTATACTAGATATCCTAAAGTTGGAGAAGGGGAAAAAAAAGTTAATATGAGGCGAAAATCATTTCAACTTTCAAACACTTAAATTTTATCAAATAGAAACGCTTAAAGGAAAGTTAAGTTCTTAGGAATATTAACGTCTCATACTAGAATTGAAGTGCTCATGAGCATCTTAAGAATTGAATGTATTTATAGTAGAAAACCACATCCATTCTGCCGTAGAAATAATTTGGAAGCATAATGAAAACAAAGGAAAATTGTTGAAAATTTATTTGCAAAACATTCTAAAAGATTGATTGAAATATACCGAAGCACACATAGTATACCATAACACCTCGAAGCAATGAATGTTGATTTTCAATCAGTAACTAGTTTTAGTTTCCATAAATGGAGAAACGTTTTGGCTCTTTCAACCATTTTGAAACAAAATCAGTTCTTTGGACACACATATATACAACTCAACTAAACAAAGCCTTTGTCCCAATATTTTGGGATTGGCTATATGAATTCTATTTTCTCCATTGTGATCTACAAGGGGCTTTTTTGTAAAATTGCAAGCTATAATATCCTTTATTATCATACAAAGTTAATTTTGGCGTGCTTCTACCTCAGTCATTGCCACTGATATTACATATGTACACACTTGTGTATTTGTATTTGAGACATAAGTACACAGTACACAGAAACATGCATATTGCACACACTTGGATGCGCATCTTCTTGCATTAATTATGAGTCAGTAATCCCTAGTTTTTGGCAGGCGTCTTAATGATAATCATTTGACTGGGCGAATCCCGAGGGAACTTGCTGATATTTCCAGCCTAAAAGTTGTGTAAGTTACTCCACTTATGTTTTCCTTGGAATAATTGATATTGCATTCATGGACGTCAGGTTATAAAAATATCTCCATATCTTCTCCAGGGATGTCTCAAACAACAATTTGTGTGGAACAATTCCTATTAAAGGTCCATTTGAGCACATCCCATTGAACAAGTAAGGTTTCCTTGATTGATATCCTCCTCCAGTATTGTTTCTTGTCCTTGGCCAGTCCTCCACATCCAGTTGAATTGAGGATGTTGTTTCGAACATTTTGTGTCGAAATTTTAAACCTCGGACATTGGAATGCACTTTTCCCTTTTATATTATTTTAATTCTTACATCTTAGTATTAGACATTGATCTTATGAACCTTGCATATGGAGAAGATTCTGTGACTTATTAACACATATTTTCATTTAAACACTGCACATATGAATTATTGATGTGAGACATATACTGCTCAACTAGTTTTCTTAGGACTGTTTACGGTGTCAACAAAACTTATGTTGATTTTGTTGTAATTTGTTTTTGATAATAGTAGTCTTGTTTTCCTAATAAATGCAACAATCAATATCAATAACATGGTTGTAATGGTTACAACCAAATCAAAATCACCAAAACCAAAAAAAGATGTGGTTGGCAAATTTCTAAAATAAAACCGTCTCTTGTTAGTGGCCTCAAAAGATACATCCTATTAATTGAAAATCTAGTTCATATGTAACTGAGCAATTGTTGAAGTCAAGGTGGGAATAAGATCTCTCTCTCACGTACACGTATGCATGTACTCCCTGAAGATCTCGCAATCCATATGTTTTCTGGAATCTCAACTCAACTCAACTCATCTCGGTCGTAATCTTAACTATATGGGGTTAGCTGCATGAATTCTATTTCTCCATTGCGCCCTATCAAGGGCTATTCCGTTACCATAAGCTATCATATTTTTTTTTTTTAACTATTTCGTTTACAATTATTTCAGACCTCCTTTTACCTCTCGCATTAGTATCGATATGTATCAAATCACTCTTCCTTACTAGGGCATTATTAGGTCTTCTATAAACATGTCCAACCACCTAAGTCCAGTGTCTCTTAATTTATCTCATACTAGTGTTACTTCTATGGTTTTACTAATACAATCATTTCCAATTCTATCATTTCTTATTTTATCACACATTCATCTTAACATTCTCCTTTCTACAACACAGTTTTTTAGCGTGTTATTTCTTAATTGCCCAACTTCTAGTCCATAAAACATTGTTGTTCTAAAGGTTGTCATATAAAACCTACCTTGCCTCGGGGGTATATATCGATCACATAATACACCAGAAGCATTCCTTCATTTAGTCCATCCTGCTTTAATTCTATGATTAACATCATTTTCAATCTCTCCCTCTGATAATTGATCCCAAATACTTAAAGTGTTTGCTCTTCGGTATCTCTTGATCTTTGATCTTTACTACCTCCCTATTTGGGTTTCTACTATTACTAAAACTTCATTCCATATATTTGGTTTTATTTCTCCTTATCCTACATTGTTTTGATTCTAAAGTTTCTGTTGGTAGTTCCTACTTTAATTGCTTCAATCAAGACTATATTATCGGGAAATAATATACACCATGGAACTTTATCGTGAATGTTTCTAATCAATTCATCCATAATTAAGACAAAGAGATACAGTCTTAAAGCAAAACCCTGATGTAGGCCTACCATGGTTGTGAATTCATTACTTTCTGCTACAGTTGTTATAACTAAGGTCACTGCATTCTTATACATATCCTCAATCACTTAAATATATTTATCCGTAACTCTTTTCTTGTCTAAAACCTGTCATATTACGTCCTTAGACACTCTATCATACGCCTCTTTTAGGTCTATGAACACTATAAGGATAAATGATATTCTGTTTGCGGAATGGATTGCCCCTCACGATTATAAACGTGGGATTATAAACTACCTAAAGGGGGGTTGAATATGTTGATTAAAATTATACTTAAACTTAATTTTCACCTATTTACCATAATTACCTCTTCTCAAAAATTAATTCATTGATTGAATTTGAGAACCCTTTTTATACTAGAACAACCCAATTTATCATGATGATGGATGTAATGAATTTCTTCAATTTTATTGATTAACACTCAATCAGTCAAGGTGATCCCAACCATCGCAATAACTTACGACCAAACTACTATGTATGATAAGATGCTAAATCTATCATATCAACAAACACAGTGTCCGTGTGTGCTACAAATCATGAGTGTATCAAATAAAGCAATAAAGACCACAAGAGATTTGTTGACGTAGAAATACTCATCGAAAAAAACTGCGAGGAACCACCTGGGGACACCAACGTATAATCCACTACCCCACAATTAATTTACAAGTACTTGAGTTTATATCTCAACCAATACCATGATTAGACATTCATTTCATTTAGCAGATATCTCAACTGGATACACCCACCTAGTGCTATTTTAAGCGTAAAGTGAATCGAAGTGAATTAGTCACCAGAGGCCTAGGTGAGTAGTGAAAGGCGAAGTGAGCAGAAAAACCATCACAAAAAAAAAAAAAAATCAACAAAAGAAGCAAACCATCAATTAAAAAAAAAAACAGATGCAGGATTTTAGTAGAAGCAACATCATAGCAAAAAAAAATAAATAAATAAAAACAAAGTTCAAGTAGGAGAAGAAAGGGGAAGAAGTAGAAGAGGAGAAGAAGAACTAGAAAATTCAAAAGAAGAAGAAAGTTAGATTATCAAGTTAAGAAGGTTTAGAGAGGAGAGGAAAAAAGAGAAGAAGAATATGGAAAAGAGTAGTGTGTTAGGTTACACAGCTACACCCTGTTGTTATATACAATCACAAAGTACAAAATTACCCATAGTCTAGAAATAACATATAACATAACACTCCCCCTTGAGTTAGTGTATAACTATCCCTTATGTCCAACTTGTAAGCAATGGGATGAAAAATTTTACTACCAAGGCCCTTTATGAAAACATTAGTCAATTGGACTTCTAGTTTCAAAAAAAGGCATACAAATCAAACCCTTATTTAACTTCTCTTTGATGAAATGCCGATCAATTTCTACATGTTTGGTCTTGTCATGTTGAATTGAATTATGAGCTATATTAGTAGCAGCCTTCTTGTCACAATATAATCTCATAGGTCCATCATTATGAATTCCCAGCTTTCCTAATAGTGTTTGGAGCCATATAAGCTCACAGATTTCATGGGACATTGCTTTGTATTCAGCTTCTGTACTAGATGTAGCCACTGCTGCTTGCTTCCACCAACACTACTACTCAGTCGATGGTTGACTTCAATAGGAGAATCTGTAGGTTTGTATCCCAACATCTCTGTCTCTTTAAAAAGGTCATGAACATACTTTGTCTGGGATATAAAGATATCTCAATCTGATTTGGCAATCTTAATTCTAATGAAATATCTCAGTAAACCTAAGTTTTTGATTTCGAACCCCTTGGCCAACTCACTATATCATACACCTGTACAATAAGAACTGTAATCTTTCCATCAACCCGTCTGACGAATAAGGTATAATCTGCCTGACTCTATTTGTATCTAAATTTTAGCATAGCTTTGGAAAACCTATCAAACTAAGCTCTAGGAGATTGCTTCAACCCATAAAGAGATTTCTTCAACCTACACACTTTTCCTTCGGTCATTGGAGATGAAAAACCTGGACTAATCTCCATGTATACTTACCCCCCAAAATCTCTGTAAAGAAAGACATTCTTCACATCCAATTATTGTAAACTCTACCCCAAATTTGCTCCACAAGAGATAAGAGCACGTGGACTTCATCTTTGCCATAGGAGCAAAAGTATCTTGATAATCAATACCATATGTCTGAGTAAATCCCTTAACAACCAACCTAGCTTTGTATCTCTCAACAGTCCCATCAACTTCTTGTTTGATAGAATGGTTCCTTTACTATAGCTACTCTTCAGTTAGAATTAGTGAGAGCTTCTTTTCAACCTTGAGGAATGGACATAGTAGATAAGGAGGAAATAAAAGTATGATAAGATGGAGACTGGGAATCATAATTGACAAAATTTGAGATAGGATATTGCGAACAAGCTCGAACACCCTTTCTGACTGTAATAGGCAGATCATAGTCATCAACAATTAGATTATCAATAATAAGAGTAACATCTGGAGGTTCATTACGTGGTAAATCAATGGAGGATGGAATTGGAGTGGAGGAATTCGACTAATGCGGCGGCACATGGGTAATATGTACTTTTTGACGTTGAGAGTAAGTCTTCAAATTATCCTTGTGAAGGTGAAAGCCATATGAATTACTACCATCATCTCTTTTCTCCATAAAGATGTTTTACAAAATCTCTTCCCCTATAGTTGTATTCTCCCCAGAGATGTCTGGTTAGTAGAGGACTCAAATTCACGAAAGGTAACATCCATGTTAACATGATAACATTTATGTCCCTTGTGGATGACAGAGTAACCAACAAAAACACATCGTAGAGCCTTAGGGTTAAGTTTTTCCTTAGAGGGTTTGTAATCGTATACAAAACAAACACACTCAAAAATTTTAGAGGAAGGGAAGAAATAGAAGGAATGGAAAAAGGCTTAGAAAGATACTCGATAGGAGACCTAAACTGGAGGACACTCGAGGGTAAACGATTAATAAGATAAGCAAGAAGAACTACATTCCCCCAAAAAGATTGAAGAACATTCAAGGCAAACATTAATGAGTGAGTAACCTTAAGAAGTTGACAATTTTTTGCTTAGCAACACCATTTTGCTTAGGGGTACGCATATAAGTGGTTTGGTACAAGATTCTATTTTCATTGAGATAAGAACGAAATTCTCCATGAATAAACTTGGTTCCATTATCACTTCAAAGAATTTTGATTTTGGCGTCAAACTGAGTTCTAATCATTTTATGGAAAGATTTAAAGCATGGGAAAACTTCATGTTTACTGCGTAATAGCGAAACTCAAGTAAGATAAGAATAACAATCAATAAAGGCAACTAACTAACAATAACTAGAAGTAGACACAATACGGGAAAGCCCCACACATCTGAATGAATAATGGTAAAAGGTGCAGTGCTTTTATGGTTAGTACTTCGGATAAAATGAATGTTTGTGCTTGGCAAATTTACAAGCATCACAAACAAATGATTGTCTACTATACTGTTTC